TTACTTTGTTCTTAAAAATATGAAACCATCTTATTAATATTGTCATTGCAATAACGGCTACTTTTTGAGATGTTCTCGTTCTCATTTCAGAGGGTAAAATATTGACTGGCTATTACTGAGTGGAGTATCTTACCACTGTCGAGTTGTACTATTTTCAAGTGGCCACTACCAGAATAAAATCAGAGTTTGGAAATAAATTGGACATAAAATTTAAAATCAGTCATTTTGAGACGAGAAATCTATTTAGCAACAGGTATCCTAATTGCCCCTTGCGATTCACATAACGAATTTAGTTACTATGTACCCTACGAGTTTTTAGAACATTACGATTATGCTCTTCACTACGGCCACTCCCGGCCATTTTACCTTAGGAGTGAATAAAATTGTGCGCAATAACATTCTACTGCTTGTCGAAGTTGGGTGACGAAATGTGATTAATGTAAAACTTCCTTGAGTTTGTGCAACGCATAATTTCCTAATGTCATACGAATGTACTTAATACTGCGATACTTAAATTAGAACTAACCGCGGCGTACCGCGATATTTTTTCTAGGTAGGCTGTATGTATTGCAGAATTATTTATTAGTAATTGCCATATCTCAAAATGACACTGAGTTGGTGTTTTATTGAAACATACATTGTCTCGTCGTTCATTTTTATTATTATTATTATTATTATTATTATTATTATTATTATTATCATCACTTTTACTTGCGTACCCCAACTAATAGAATCATAGTTCCTTGCAACACACTCGTGAAAATAAAATATTTTAAGACAGGTTCTTGAGAAAAAAATCGAGTGAGTTTATACAATTTATTTTGATGTGACAATTCTCTCTCTCATCATCCCTTAAACTTAATTCTATTTTTGTCAATTCGAACAACTGATAGAGCATGTTCAATTCTTGTTATTCCTAATTCACAAAACTGTACGGTAGCAGCTGTATGTTTAACTAAACACTTTAGCTTTTTATTCTCTCCCTTGATTTTATTAAACTTTCGTCGACTAATCCGATATCACACCACCCATAGTAATTTTTTTGAAGATAAGAGAAAATGGAAGTAATAGAGTCTGTTTCTTTTTACCCAACCATGGCTTCGTCACCTTCGTGTTGGCTGGACCACGTAAAATGGCGCAGTCTCCTCTGCTGCGATAATTTGCGCCTTCCCGCCGCGGGTACCATCCTTTTCTTTTCAAACTCCAAATCGAAACACTCGCTGACTATATTCCTTACTACGGAACACCACTCTACGACATACTTCCACCTTCCAACCAACTTTCACTTCTGCCATGATGTCAGCACTACCAGGTCGCCTCCCCGTCTGTCTATATGCATTGTTACACACCTTCCTCCTCACCGCGCAGTTTAAAGCAAAGGACTCTTCTCTCCAGTCAAACTCGCTGTACATTTTTATATTCCAATTTTAGATGTCTTTTTCTTTCCGCAATTTCTTCACTGTAATACTTTCTAATTAAACTTTAAATAACAAATTTTATTACCCTTCCCCTATTACAAATTCTTAATATTTTATTATCTAAACGTTTATGTAATCGCCCAATTCTTATACTTCGCTTGTCTTTTCTAAACATACGAACGAACATTAATTACATTAATTCATTTAGTAAAATAGTTTCATTATTAAAGAAAACGTGCGGGTATAATACATAAGAAATTAATGATACAAGCAGATTATATTGATTTAGAAACAGGGTAACATTAGCTACCGAACAGGGAAAAATTGTTCTTCTGGTAGAATTTTAATATTATAAGGTATCAACTAGAGCAAAGTGTTAATTAATATTTCTTACAATCGCAAAACCTTCAGTAAATAAATATTCCTTCTTTTTCCTGGGCCCGCCCGCATTGCGGGCTCGAATGTTACGCCACTGGCTGCTCCTGACTATCGACATGAATGCAGAAATGCATCACAGGCGCTTTGTTTGAATTGGATGTTTTCAAGTAATCGCTGGGATGACAGTAGTGCAGAAAATGCAATATTGCAATATTACATAGCTGTTTCCAAAAATTGCGAGAAAGTATGCGCTGTTGAGCTCCAGTTGCTGTATGTCTGCCTTCAAATCAAAGAACCTGATCTTCCTAGAAATTAAAATTGCATTTCTACCTATTTTCGTTATGTTTTCCAAGAAAGCCTTAATTTCCTTGCCTCCTTTTTGCTCCACATTACTTTTCCTCCATACATATTCGCGCGTAAACAAATCATACATGTCCACGCGCGTGAATGAATCGTGCCACAAACTGCATTTCAGCACCTTGCTGTATTATTAGAGGTCAGTGCGATAAGAAATATCTTACATCGTGGATACAGCTTATCTCAGGTCTGGTATTCAACAACTAGTGCGGAATCGCGTTGTATCGTGACATTCATGATGGATAAATATTTATACTATGATTTATGACACTTGACGTAAACCAGCTGTTCACGGTTTTTTATCTAATTGAAAGTTTGAAGTGACATCACTGAGCGACATACAAGCTCTCGATTGGAAGAAAAAGGACCACCTAATTTACGTCAAGTGCACAACTAAATGAATCGTACTGTATATCATGATGACATTGTAGCCAACCTCTGTACGAGAAAGAAAAATCAATGAATATTCCTTGACGAAGCGCCAAAGTTAACTTTATTTCTACCCCAGAAGTGACAGTAAAATGTTTCGTAGTGTCAAAAATTGGACGTTCGTCAAGACCGATTTGTGGTTGATGAAATCAGTGAACCTTTGTAAAAACGTAGAGGAGAAATACAACTACTCTATGGGTAAAAACCAACGAGTTAGAGATACATAGAGAGGCAAACAGCTATATTTCAGCGCTCCTAGCGTGATATTCCGTGAAATATGGCGGCCATGTTTAAGGTGTCAAGTGTTTTTTGAACTGAGTTAATACTCTACTGAATTACCTTTCTTCGTGTGTGTTTATGTTGCTTAATTTTCTGCGAGTACACAGCCACAGTAAAACTCAACTCTTCGTTTTTGGAGGCGCTATCATATTCTGAAAGTTAAGCCGTAATCCAATCATACAGAGAAAAATTCATATGATGATGCAGGAAATTTCAATGAAGTTAAATTGAAGTATTTTGAAAACTAACAAAGTCAAGAAAAAGAATGGTGTAATCTGCAAATAAATTAGAAGACATCATTTACTGTTAACGAGAAACACAGAAAAGAAAGTTGTTGCACTCCGACCGCTCAGTTCTGTCAGTGCTAAAGCAATGTTTGTTTTCCAAAATATTGGAATGAATAATTTCGTGTTTGTGAAAGTCAGTGAAGTTCGTAAAACAAATGATTTAATATTTGAACTGATTAAATAGTTCGTCATCCATGGTAATAAGGACAAAAGTGCTTCCATTTCTAAGCGAACAAAGATGCAGTTACAGTCAAATTGATGAGTGCAGTGCTTACTTTCAAAAATTAACTTTGCTGATGGCTCATTCTGTGTGGAGATCAGCCAGAAAGATACCCTTGTAATGGACTTTTGGTCCATGACCTGTTAACCATTGAAGGTATGCCAGTGAAATTAATAATTGGAAGCTTAAATACTATTAACTCGCAGGCTAGCCAGACATTTTGAATATTTTTATTCTTTACGAACAAGAGGTGGTTCCCAGAACTAAATCCCAATGCAACAATTCCATGCGGCGTAATTAGGAAATATTTAATTTGCAGCCGGTCATGTCATCTAGAATGGCAATAGCACATTTTTGTAGTGATAATGCTTACTGAGGAGGTCAGCACTTTGAAAATGTAAGCACTGCAAAGTAGTAGATGACCATGACTATTGCAATCCAGTATTAGATACTCAGTCTTGTTGAAAAAATGGTTCCAAATTAATTGCAGGAGTATTGGTAGGGAATTTCAACAAAAAATTGAAATGTCTGAATGTTTGAATGTCAGTTTCAAAACATAGGGAAGCAAATCAAATAATTGCATTAAAGATGTCAATAATTCTAGTGAATTCCTGCACAGGGAGTGATAAAACTCTGTAAGATTTCTGGACAGAGTTTTCAAGAAAATATGAGGTAATTTAGTAGAAATCATAAGAAGTGCTAAAATTTCATACTGAAGTGATGTCAAGTCATCGGAATGCCTCATTATATTGTGATCATATGTTTACAGCTACGGGTGCAAGATGAAATCCTCATTTTGCATCTCTTTAAAAAATTAAATTTTTGAAAACAAATATTTACATGCAGAATCACTAGTTGAAAAAAAATCTGCAGAGATAAAAGGGAGAGAATGTAGACAGTGTTTAACAAAAGTAATTTTATTTAAAAGTCTATAAAACTATTCCTAATGTAAACAATGAAGAACTTTGTGTTTTTTCATTCTGAACATACTTACCTATTTACTAATTATGTGATTCTTATAGCTATTTATTAATGTCGCACTTTTTGGAAACCTTCCGTATAATATAGCCCCCATACCAATTTTATTTCAGTGAGAATAGCAGTTTCCGATGTGGTAATGCTACAGCGGGCAAAACTCTCAATCAAGTAGAAACTAAAATTTTTCACTCAAAAATTTTGAGAAATAAATTAAATGAATGTTTCACATTGTGTATAACCATAGAGTAATGAACCTCTAGTCTGATATAACTATATTCTATCCAATGATGTAATCTCAATCAATTTTGTTTTACATTTAAATTCTTGGGGAAAATGAATATAATTTTAGAATTAATTAAATAAATTCATTTTAATTCAATAAAGTACGGAGCAAGATTGTATCTTTCAGTGTATTGCATGCGAAGAAAATTTGAAATCCCGCGCAATAAGGTGACACCTTACAGAAGAACCGGACAGTGGCTCTACTGTTTCAAAGATGGCGGTGCTATTGCCACTCTATATATCTCTAACTCGTTGGTAAAAACCGACCCCAACGTGGTGAAAACGAATCTTAAATGAATCAGTTGAACGGATCGCCGTTAGCGATTCAGATTCCCACCACGAATAACCAATTAGAGAGCAGCTGGTGGTTGGCGGAATATGGTTACGTGAAGGCGGGAATATATATACTCTTTGGGCGGGATCCGTTTGACGTAAAGAGAAATGAGTAGTGAGTGGGGGTGGATTGTGTGTAACTACAACATGCGTATGTGCGGGGAGCAATAGCATTTGACCCTATTTGTTGTGAATGGAAGAAAGTAATCATTTGTTAGATCGTGTAAATAAATATAGTAAGTAAACAAAAGTAGAAAATGGGAGAATCAGATAACATTGAAGACGTAGGTTATCTTCAAGATATTATTAGCTACATTTTTGATGAGAAGAAAATTGTGAGTTGTAGATTAAAAAATTGTAACATTATTTGTAGACATCAGGATTAACATTTTAACTGATTAACATTTTAACTTATGTTGCAGGTTACATATAAATGGATAAGCAACGTCCTTAGTATTCATGTCAATCGAGCAAAACAGTGAGTGAAACATTTTTTTCAATCTTCTTTAATTTGATTATGAAATAGGCCAGTTAGTCGCGAATTTAAAAGTTGTTTACCCCAACTATAATGGAAAGTAATTGAGACCCTTTGCAGTAATAATATTGTTCAAATATTGTAGTTAATAAGTTTTGTAAATGTGAATCTATTGATTGTGTTTGTGTTTATCTACATCAAATAGGCTTTGACCATTATAAATATGGTGTAATTGCATGTTTTGTAGTTTTTCAAAGTTGTTGACAAAAAAAATCATGTTTATTAAAGTGAGAAGATACATATAAGAAATTTCCTTTTTAATTGAATTTTTGTTATTCATAATTTTACAATAGACCCAAAATACTGATGTGTGTAAGAAGGATTGTAATTACTTACTGAGAGCTAAAATTATTGTATCCTAAATCTCAGTAAATCATTTGACCTATGCATTTCATGTCAGAAAATTAACTTAGGTTGTATCTTAATTAAAAGTCCTGATGTTTTGCAGACTGCTCTTCACTTTTATAAAGCATATATCAGAAGAACGTTTGAAAGAATTACAAGTAACGTACCTTGTTGGAGGAATTCTTCCCAATGATAGAGGATGTCGTTTGCAAGTTGTTTCAGAAGACAATTTGGAGAAAGTTAAAGCACAATTTAAAGTGATAACTTCTGAACACATTTACAGTGTGTCTCTTAAAACTTGCTTGGTGGACTTGCAAAATCTTTGTTCTGTTGATGGTGTGAAAGACAGTGAAGTAGGAAGGTGAGAATTTTGTCGAAATGGAGTTTTAAAAAGAAGCTTTTCTGTGTTACGATATCACTTATTCAATATTTTCATCTGTGAATAATTCACAACATATACTTTATGATTGAATGCATGTATTGGCCTATAGATCAAATCGTTGCTCTCTCTGTAGCCATTGTTTGTGATGGTATATTTATCTCATCAGTTTCAAGTATCAACATGTACAGATCACAAGCATTACATTACTTTTGTATGGTGTACAATAGCATAATACATGAGTGGATTTGTGCAAGCTGTGCGGTAGTGTTGTAATAATCTAATTATTGTTTCTGAAATGATTAAATATTCTAGTCAACAAATTGATACATTCAATGCCCAAGTTACACAGGGTGTAATTTGTTTCACTTTTGTCCAGTTTTCTCTCTAAATACTGTTAGTTTCTGACAATATACGAACCATTTTTGGCAGTGCTGCAAAATGGGTCATGTCTATTTACAAGTTACTTAATGACATGCTCACAGAAGATGCAAAAAGTTATTTTATTCTACTTGTAATGTGTATGTCTGTTGCTTACTTGTAGTGAAACCTCTATCAAACCATCACTAGGGCAAGGAAGGTGTTATTTGTCATATCTTGTTCTACTGATGAGGAACCGACCACTTTTGTTTCTTTGGATCCTTCCAGAGCAATCAAAGTATTATTGGAATAACTTGTTTTGGGGGATTTGAAGCATCTAAAATGCTCTTTGATGCTTACTTACACAGGTGATCAATTTCTCTCAAGATGAATCAATCATCCTTACTTTTAGCTGAACCCTTATAAAATATTTTGGAAGAATTCTAGAAGAAAACCTTTTTAGGAGGGGTGTTTTAAGTCACCAACAATGGCATAACAAGAACAGTTTCAACTTAATTTATCAGATTAATGTTTTTGAAAATAATTTTATAATCTGTACCACTATTTTGTGTCATAGCGATTGTATTGGTAAGTTTGAGTGACTGAAGCAAGATGGAAATGTTAGGATTTTTACATATTATTACTTATGAATTAAAGATATGCTGCCAAAAAGAAATCTCAGATATGATGTCCCCTTAAGCAAATACAATAAAAAACCAACTGGCTCAAAAAAAAATCACTAATTATTTGGTTTCATGGGAAAGACAAAGAGCTTAAATTACATTCTAATTCATTATAATTAATTATTAATGTCATATGTTGATTTCATCATGTGATTTTTCCTAGCGAAACAAAAAATTATAAAATTAAAGTGTTTTTATAGGAATTATATGTTTTTATATTCTTGTGTGACTCTTCATTCCCAAAGAAAGACAAGCCAGACAATTGTCCTACGTTTAATATTTCTTATTATTATAAACTTGCGTAGCACCTGCTAGAGATGCCTTTCAATGCGAGAACTGAATTATTGACATAATTTTGTTAATTTACCATGCTAGTGAAAACCATGAAAATCTGAAATTAAAATGAGTTTTTCCTATAATAGAAAAATGCAACTTGTCAACAGTTTGGTGTAATTTTAGGCATGGAGCAGTAAAATGTCTCAAAAGTATATCAAGAACATCTCAAGAAAATGCTTCTAAACGTCAAGGAGCTTATAAGTGTGTTGAAGATGACAAAAAATGGCCTACTGCACAAGCAAAGGTAACTTCTGATTTGTGATTGTGATTTTGAAATTCAAGTAGATTTATCATAAAGAGATGTGTTACTATGAAGGGTACTGTAACTATTTTATAATAATGAAGTAGGTGTAAAATTCAAATTAATACTGTTATGTTGATGAAATATAATGACATTGTGAAGCTAAATTAGCTGTATTTACTATTTGAAATAACTCTTGTTTTTAAAATGAGTTCTGTTTTGCACAATAATTGTGTTTGCACAATGTTCACATCAAGCTAAGAACTTGGCATAGAACATATTTTTATATAGTAATCCTTTGTTAAGCTACACTGTAGTGATATACTATATACTATATTAGTTTGTAGTCCGTAAGTCGTGGAAAGGACCACAAGGTAGCGTCTCCGCATTCATACCTCTCTTATACACTCCTGCATCACTACCAAGCCGCTAGAATTGGGAAGGAATTAGGAGAGGGGTAGGGTGTAGGTTTGACTAGCCCGTATGAAACAGCCAAACTCGTTTCATTGGAACAAATTTCACACAAGATTGTCCAGGAATTGAACCCAGACCTCATAATATTTAAATTACTAGAAAACTTACAAATCTGAGAAATTGTGGCACTTTTAGCAGTATTAAATAACCTGGACATCAGATTTGTTGCCAATATTAAGCAAACTTCTTGTGTTAACTTGAACTTGATATTCTCAAGTGATGATTCTTTAATATGTATTTATTACAATTCCAATTGTACAATTTATATTTGCAGACAGAGAAAGAAACATCAACGGGAAGTAATGGAAAGAAATCTGCTAAAGCTAATGGAATTTCTGCTATGTTTGCTGCCCAAAATGGCAAAAAGAAAGTTGAAGATACCTCTCCTAAGGTAAGGGCCAATACTATGTCAAGAAAGAAATATTTATGAAGTGATATATCAGAAGATTTGAATTAGGTTGTCACTTCAGCTTAGTATTTCCCGAACAAGTTGTTGTGTGAACTTTTCCTTGATATTCTGAAAGATTTTAAATGACTACATCCCCAATGGAATGTCTTCTTCAAAAGATCTTTTTTTAGTATTGTCAGCTTGCTTGTGATGCAATATTGCTTAACATACCACCTTTTCAATAAGACACCTCCAATGGAAATCCTAATCATCATTCATAGACTTTTACGCATTTATGATTTATTCAAGCCTGAGAGCCTAAATCATGCTTTTATCAAGCCCAGGGTAATGTGAAAATTTTCTCAATGACATGGTGGCACCTGCTATTGATACAGATGACACCCAAGAGTTAATTCTAAAGTAAGAATAATAAAGACTTAGACTCATCAATTGCTATCCAATCAAAATCACAATTAGAGCTATTTTCAGAACTCTTTCGACCATTCTAAACTGATCAGAACTGAAGAATAAAAGTAATTGCTTTCTGATCACATAAATCAATTAGAATAATTGTGAAAACTCTTCTGGCTCTTTCTATAACTGTGATCAGAATGCAGTTCACAAATTAAGTTATAGGAAATATTATCTTTTTGAGATATGATAAAATAGAGACAAGTGAACAATCTTCAATTACTTTTGGGTATCACCCTTGAAAGTTTTTACCTATATAGCATTGGCTCATCAGATAGTCTTATCATATGTTTTTTAAATTCAATCACAAAATGAATATTCATAGAATAATTTTGCTTTTGCCCCAGAGTAATGACAACTTTATTCCAGTATTTTGCAATGTGTTTTTGCTTTATTTCATAAAAGTTTCATGATCTGTTCATAATTTAACCAAAACTTTATTTGACATATTCATGCAACTTGGTTTATTAAATGTGTGTTGTTGTTTTCTTAATGGAATTCAAAATAGAAACATTAGAGTTAGATACTTTGTATAAAGTGGAACCTATTTAGTAAAGTTTCCAACTGATAAAATAAAAATGAGCATTCATGAAAATATCATCATACAAACACTGCATTTTAAACAGTCTTAAGAAAATCTTACTTAACAAAATAACACTTGTCTCAAAACCTAAATTTTTGGTCCCCAAGTAAGATCTTTTATAAAATTTCCTGGCTAATAAAACCGAACGATAAGGAATGATACGGAACGATAAGGAATTTGTGATCTGACTAAAAGAATTTGCTGTTTCACATTTTGAAGCTGTGAAGCCTTTCACTACCTTTCACTAAATGTATGTATAAGAATTCGGAGAAAGGGCTCTGCCAACTGCTCATCAACGAGCATCACGTCCCTCTTCCTTTCAACAGAACTCGCACATCTTTGTATTTTTATTAGTATTTCTAAGTGTTGCATGGTCTTGTGAGTTTGTGGAATACTTGAATATCTTGAAAGTTTTGCATCGGGAACACTACAGTTTGCATCAGCATTTTCAGCAACACTGTTCTTTTCTGTTGAAATGCACGCAAAATAATGTAGACAAGCTACACTACAGTTTTTCAAAAAAGGTTAATTTTACAGTTATGTTGATAATGTAAAAACACACAGAAACCAATCTACCTTTTTTTACGGTCCTTTTAATAAAATAAAATCTTCAAAGGTCCCAACAGTATTTTCTTAAAGGTATTTGTATAGAATTGAATACAAAGGATGCTTCTTAATTTGATATGTGGCAGAAACCAGATGTGAAAAGTGCAGAAAAACCCAGCCCAGAAAAGAAAGTTCCTGCACCAAAAAATTCTTCAAAAGGTGGCAAACCTCCAGCCAACAGGCTTGCTGCTATGTTTTCTGCCCAGAACACAAAACCAAAGACAGCAAAGGTAAAATATTTATTATCAAAATATAACAAAAGTATAATTTTTCGCTTAGATTGATTCAATAGAATATTTCATTTTTGAGAAATTTAGGAGCCATTAGGACATGTTTCTATTGTTGACTGGAAACATTTTCTAAAATCTGTATGTGGAAATAACTGTGTGTTGCAAAAATTGTTAAAACTTGTTGTTGTTTTTTTTGTTTTGTTTTTGTTTGTTTGTTGTTGTTTTTTTTCCCTCATGAAAAAAAAATTTTGTAGCAAGATGTTTAAAATAACAATAGTTAAGTTCAATTATTCTAAAACATTTAATTTTCTGACTATTTTCGTATTTGATGCTTCTTGCTATTTGTAAACTATTTACATAATTGTCGTATAGTATGTTATTTTTTGCATATAAAAACTCTCATTTAAATTATAACATTATTCATCCTTATTTAGTATTTCATTGAATAGTTTTTAAAAAGTCTATAAATTATTTTCTAGATGTTGAATTGATTTTTGTCTTTTTAGAAAGATGTGCAAGAAGAAGATAAGCCCAAAACCAATAATGAAAATTCTGAAAAAGACCTGAAAGATACCAAAAATAATTCAAAATTAGAAGAAAAGCATGAGAAGAATACAGATAGTAAGGTAATAATATCATTAACACTTTTTTTGGTGCTGCAAAAGGTATTGTAAAGGATTTGAATCATGACTGATGTGGCTGATTGCCCAGATTTGAATGCATTTCACTACAACTTCATGAAACGATTCCTTCAAGTTCACTTTACTTTTCAGAATACTCAGGAAAAGTCCTCTAAGACAAATACAAAATCAGCAAGTAAAAAGTCTAAACAAAAGAAAAGGAAAGCTAGTGATAATCAAGAAAAAAGCAAAAAAAGGAAACGTATTGTGATGATGGATGATTCAGATTCAAGTGATGATGGTTAGTATATGTGATTGGTAAAGATCTACAAAACAAGGATATCAAATACAAATAAAAAAAATAGCAACTGATGAAGTTCTGTTTGTTTGTAATTGTAATGTAATCAAATATTTGTAATGTTTTTTATTATAATATTAATAATACCATTCCTACCACTATTTTCATCAGTCATATCTTTATGTTAGTAAATGGTACCGTATTGACCTGAATGTATGCAGTGTTGTTTTTCTTTTTTCTTTGTCCCTAAATATCTCTCAAAAAATGTGTGATCATATTATATCCGCAGATTAAGCTTGGTCATAAGTTTTTTTCATTGTCGTTCTATATCATAAAACTCGTAAATGTAGACATAACAATAAACTGCAAAGACAGTAAAATATGCATATTAGTAATATGTAATGTTTTTTTCAGTCGTATTCTCGTTTTATTCAGTCGTATGTTTTTTTCAGTCGTATTCTCAGGATCCACTGTGAATTGCCGGGTAATTTAGGCCAATATGTTTCAATAAGCCAGTAAAGAAAGAATCTCAAATGAATGGCATTGTATCAAATGAAACGTATCGTGAAAATTAAGGGATTTTGTTACACGATACAGATTCAAGGCAGCGCAGAATATAGGTTTGGCACAGAAAGTGCGATTCTGCTTTTTGAACTGTTAAAGAAAGAGGCCATCATCAAGTGCGGGACTGACATATGGAATATCCTTAGGTGACATCTGAGGACAGATTAAGAATAACTAAAAACATGGTGCAAAATTTTCAGAGGGTATAAGAGTCAGAAGATGTCGCAGCATGGAAAGAGGACCAATAAAACATTGATGCATGTGAAGATGTTGAGGATTTTGTCAGAAACCATTATTATGATTTTAAGGAACAAAAAAATGATAAATCAGCAATATGCTTTAACATTCTAGGCTTTAATACATTTTCTGAACAGTAAGACAATTGTAATTTTATTTTGACTAAATTGTAAGAATTCTTTCAGAGTCCACTTATATTTACGTAAATACGGTATTTAATCTCTACATCATTTAAAAGGGAATGTGTATATGTCTGTCACGTACAGGCACAATAACTACTTGACCGATTTCATTGAAACGTTCACACTTTGCCCTTATAAACATTGAGAATGTGTAAAAAGTGAATTGAATTAAATCAGACATGTGGGGGAGTTGTATTTGCAAAGTTATTCGATGAGATGGGCTCTATGCCTTTCCGAGAGGACCTTGATGGATGTGCAATCTATAGGTATCTTTTTCAACTAAACACCTTTCTTCGTCTCATAATATCGAATAACACCGAAGTTGCAATCTAGAAAGGAGGAAGTGGGAACCAAATGATGGCAGTGAATAACATTCTTTCACATGAATATTTGACTTGTTCAGTGAAGTGTAATATAATAAAGTGTGGTTAATACTTAGTTAATCTTCATTGAATAAATTGATTTTGAACTTCAATTGTATTAATTTAATGCTCCATATAGCAAAGCATTGCTTGGTCTGCTAGATTGTAGAATAAAATGGTATGGACTTACAGAAATTTTAATTTAAAGGTAGTTTACTTCAGCATTCTTTGCCCTTCTCTTGTTTTTAATTTTTGTGGTTTTGTTATTTTCCTGACTTTGTTCCATTGTTATTCTTAACAAATATTTTAATGTGTGTTTTTGTAGATATATTTGGAAGTGATAAAGATGATGATGAAGAAGAAGAAGATAAATCTTTACAGCTACCTCCTGAGAACGAAGAAGAAGAAATTGAAAAACCAACAGAAGTTGCTCCACCCAAGGACTCAGATCCCTCGGAACCAGATGCAAATGTCCATCATGCTCGTAAACGTCATTTAGTGGACACAACTTTTATGGATGAAGAGGGATACATGGGTAAGTATAAGAATTCAAAACAATTTAATTTTCCATTATTGATTTAAACTCAACAGGAAACATTTTGGTTAATGCGAGAGATATTTATTATATTTTGATTATTTCAGTGACCAAAAAAGTGTACGAGTATGTAAGCTGCGATGAAAGTGGCAGTGAAGGGGAGAAGGAAAACGAAAAAGCTTCAAAATCCAAGAACAATAAGACAGAAAGTGAATCCAAGGACAAAGAGTCAGAATCGGAACCCAAGAAATTGAAGGCAGACAAACAGACACCCAAAACAGTTCAAGGTCCACAAAAATCTCTAAAAAATAGTAATCAAAAAAAGAACTCTTCACCTGAGAAAAAGAAACAAGCCACATTGATGAACTTTTTCAAACGTAATTAGGACTTCTGTGGTACTAATTTCCACCGATTAGAATTTGATGGCACCAATTCAGAACACCTTTCCTAGAAAGTGAACATCTTTGCTGTCACAAAATTTTCTTATGATATAAATAATTTTCTTTTGATGTTTAAGAATGAATTAAATTTTAACAATCTCATTGGATGTAAATTAAAATTTTTAAATTTCTTTGAGGTTCCAGCCATTGTTATAAATAAATGTAATTATTCTTGTAATTATTATTTAATTACTATTTTAACCTAGTTCCATTTCGTACATTGTGTTTAATAATACCATTTATGAATGAAATGTTCTAAACTATCATAAATCAATCTTTAATCAATTGTAAGTTACTAATGTACTATATAGTAATTTGTAACATAATTTCCTGCATCCTGCAAATCTATCATGAATTTGGTCAACTGAAGCGAGATAGAAACTTCATGTTCTTCACTTATAACTTCTTGTTTATGGCTCCCCTAAATTGATTTTGATTGTCAACTCTAGGTTTTGTGCGGTGGCCTGGGACAAAAAGTTATAATAGTGTATTTATTACTTTCTTACTATTGCTTAGGCAGAGTAGAGAAACTCATTTCTGTCTTGGACTCCCTCATCATTTGTTGCTAGGCAGCCGCATAATGTCAATAGAACTTGATGTGGCATTTAGCACTATTTTAAATTATTTATACCATTTTATTCCACATGTTAATTGCATCTGCAACAGATTTTGTTTTATTTAATCTGTATTCCAATTTTAAATTGGAATATAGAATGGGTGCAAAGGCCCATAGCTATTGAAGCACCCTTTAAAATTCAGTCAATTTTTCTCAAGGGAGGGACTAAAAGTATAGTGTCCACCTGACATGATACTTGCCAATAAAGAATGTTTAATGTAAAATGTATTTTTATTTTATAAATATTTACAATGTTCACAATTAATATATTGAATTACTTGTGTTAGTACAGCAAATTAGTAAAAGCTATATTTTTGAATATGCATCATTGACTCCTGGAAGGGAGGGTTGAAGTCTCGAGCTACCCATCGCGAGTGCACCACTACCAATTTTGATAGAGTTTATACTGAAAGGTAATTGGGTCTATTTTAGGGCCCTTTATCTTGAGATCATCTATTAGGTTTACATAAAGAATGTTGGTTTTTAGTGCAAACCTATTAGTTTATTCCTGTTGTAATGAAATCTTGCACGGTTTAACTCCACAGATGTAGGTCCATGTCTACAAGGAATTTCCAAGAAACTATTCCACTCCCCTTCCCCACCTTTTCAAGCGTGGGTACTATCAGTTCGGAGCGAATATCTTGAAAATTGGGAGAAATTTGGCAGCATTCTATCTTGGTTGCTTAGAGGCCATAAAGTTTTCTAGTGTAAGCCCTTCAATCCATTCGGATTGCAGAATTATGATACCAGTAATTCGAGGTCAACTTTGAAAATTAGTTCAGTCATGGAGATAGGTAAGGAGAGCAGAGCAAGTCTGAAACAGCGCTCGGGAGGGAGGGAAGGAGTTGAGTAGGGGGGTGGGAGGGTTGCGTAAGCAGAGGAACATCTCCTTGAATGGTGTATATTAAATTTCACCTTGCCTTGTTACTATATAAAGTGTATATGTCACCTTGTCCTATCCCGGCTGAAATTGCAAAGGGATCCGATAGGGAGGTTTCAAAGCTAGGTTTTCTACTTTAATTCTTCCAGTTGTATACTGTAGGGTCATCTTAATCAATATAATTAACTTCTTTGATATTCTATCAGTCTTTCAAATAAGTTTCTCAAAGGCGTTCTTAAAGTCAATAAACAATATGTGTTGTTCATATCATTTTTCAGGTATTTGCCTCTGTTTACACATAGGCAGAACCTTGTACAGATGTGGAAAATGGGCTTTTAAAGTCCCAGGATCGGTTGAATTGCTTCCAAGCAATTAGCCATACTTATGTTACTCGCACTCCCATGAAAATTACAGCAGCCACATTTACAATCAGATAATGCATCTGTCTAATTGCACAAATAAGTAACGAAGAGTGTTCTTCAACAGAGATTGAGTCAATAAAAAAGGAACCACTCGGGATTTTCCACGGGTAAACAAAATTTTGCGATTACAGCGCCACTCCACTCCAAAAGTTTTGAGAATGAGCAACAATGAAACTATTTCCATTTTTAGGTGTAACTTTTAGTAAGAATCTCGCGCAAGTTTGGACACGCTCGAGTAATTTATTAACTTAGAAGGGCTATTTGTGTTCTATTAGTATTTGTTCCTCTGCCAGTAACGATGGACCTAAAGAGAGAGCATTTCAGAGCTATGATTTTGTATGACTTTAAGGTTGTACATATGCTCAGATTCAGGAAGCTTTAAATATTGGATCAGCAGCAGTGAGACAGATCCTGAAAGAAAAGCTTCACGTCAGGAAGCTGTGCTATCGGATCCCTGCTGGATCCATCACAATCTGTCAAGTAAATTAAAAAAAAAAAAAAAAAAAAAAAAAAAAAAAAAAAAAAAAAAAAAAAAAAAAACGCGATTGGATTGGTGTCGTGAGGATAAGTTCACTGGAGGAAGATCAAAAAACATTTTTAACATCGTGACGAGTGATGAAAGCTGGATTTATCAATTTGATCCAGAAATGAAACGGCAGTCATCAGTTTGGGTGTTCCCAAATGAAAATCCTTCAACGAAAGTGTGAAAACCCAGAAGCGTTGGCAAAATGATGTTTTGTTCTTTCTTCTCTGCCAGTGGCCATATTGTGACAGTGCCACTCGAGGACGAAAAGGCAGACACTGCAAGATGGTACACTACAATTTGCTTGCCCAGATTGTTTGAAGAGCTGCGAAAGAACCGTCCAAAATCAGGTTGGCGTGGAATCCTGCTCCACCATGACAACGCCTCATCCCACGCAGCCAGAGCTACAACTGAATTTCTGGCAGAATCAAGGGTTAAAACACTGTGTCATCCATCCTACAGTCCAGACCTGGCCCCGTGTGACTTTTTTCTTTTCCCTTATGTGAAAGAAAACATTCAAGGTCATCGTTTCGAGTCAATGCAGGCTGCAGTGACTGCAAATGAAGATCAGATTCGCAGAATCTCTAAAGTGGCGATCGTCATTTGAAAATTGGTTTAATTGGATGAAACGTTGCATAGTGTGGTGGCGAGTACTTCGAGAAGATGTGAAGGTTTTGTTATCTCGATTTTAAGTATAGTATTCTCAAAACTTTTGGAGTGACCCTCGTATTACAAATGAGAAAAAAAAGTTTCAGACAAAACTTATGAATTTTTGTCCGTAGAATCCGAATCTGAAATAAAAAACGGGGGTTCCTATTTGATTTCAATGTCACTCACCGCCCCTCCCGCTGAGGGCAGAGGGATGCTGATTGCTGGTTTTATACTAGAATGATTACCCTTCAAAACTGATAAGATTTGGTCTCGGCTCAATTTTTCATACATCGCGTATTTTTTGAGTTATTTCAAGTTGTGTGTGTGTGTATATATATATATATATATATATATATATATATATATATATATATATATATATATATATAGTGAACTCGTCGTGCTGAATTGCGAATTGTTGGCATTGTTAAGTTCCTCATTGGGTCTGTGGGTTCGTTCCCGATTACTTTCACATGTTCTTCTATCTAGTTATACTGGATTTTGTAATGGTAATTGAATAAAAAATTTAGATAACTTTAAAACAGGTCGTTTAATTCAAATAATTAATTTGTATTATATTCAGAGAGAAAATCGTAATGTGCTAACTTTAACAAGCAAATTAGCTGAACTTTACAATGTAATTATTCTTAGACTTCTTTACATAGCAATTTAAAGGTCTTTGTCACGTACCCGTTTCCTTCCTTCGTCACTGCAGCGCCAGGTACCTGGCCCGATTGATTAGTGGGCCAAGTGCGTCGTGCAAAAGGGCTTCACTAACACAGCAATACGTCGGCGCTTCTCCATCGCTTCCTTTCTTCAGTCGAAAGCTGTCTTTAATCTCAGCACCGCAGCTCAGTACCTACCCTCGCCTTCGCGCGTGCCATCCATCTTTGTTCTCAAGCTCCATTGTCCCGGCCCCTTGCACCTCAAAATATATATATATATATATATATATATATATAAATATATATATATACAAGTGATATTATGTATTTAAGCATCTGGTAATACGTAGCTGAGGATTACCGGCAAACTGGTCTCAACGACAAATTAAAATGATATATTAAGGGTACGGGTACTCTCTCGCGTGTACTGGCTTCCAGGGTTTTGACGCTGCATTGGGAGAATGATCGAAGAATCTCTTTTTGTGCAATTAAGACAGCTTACAATTTGATTGTAAAACACTACGTAAAAAAATTCTTTACAATACGACAGTGCGCAAGAGCCTTTTAAGTGATATTCGTGCACAAGTAACGCTAGCCTTGTAGGGTCTTATCGATGACGCACCGGCTGGCTGGAGGCGAGAGGGGACCGCCGTGGAACGGCGGCGGCAGTGTGTTCGGACAAACTTCGGTCCGCCCCGGAAGTTTGTCGTGAATCGCTCGTCCCATCGGCGGTCGAACTCCGCTAGCGCCCAACGCGATGGCTAACGGAAGTGCCGAGGGGGCTGCCACCCCTCCCCCCAGCACTACTACAAGAATGCCATCATTACTAATGCCAACGTACGCCGAAGCAATTGCGTCCGCTACGGCAGTTCCATCACAACGCAGTTCTCTCATAGTCACACTGAATGTTCGCTGAAGCTCGGTGCGGCCGGCTTTGCTGCTCACTACGGACATGAAAAGCGTGTCTGTCGGCGCTCAAAACTCAGTATTAATTGATTTCAACTGATCCCGGGTCTGGTGCCGACTTGTCCATCTTTCACTCACCTGATTATCATTTGTATCAACTCTAATCTCTCCACTTATGGCACAATCATTCGAAGACCGGACACTAGTTGTACTATACTATACACTTGCTTGAGGCGCACAGCCTCTCCGTGTGCGCTCGACGGCCTCTTCTGCCGTCATACTCCCAACACGTCACGAGCATGGCCCGTCTACCCCCGTTGCGTTTGGGCAGCGTGCGGTGGTACTACGCTGACGATTAGGTGCTTTCTTTAATTAGAATATAGTAATCAACTTTTGATTGTTACTATGGCAGAAACGTTCTTCGTTTCATCACCCCCTCCCCCTTTTCGGATTTTTCTGACAAAAATAGATACTATTCCAAAGCAACAATTATAAAGATCTCATACAATAGTGATTTTTTCTCAAAGTACAATATTTTTTCACAAAATCGAAATTAGTACAATGATCATCTATTACTAATGGCGCATGACACCCTACGGACAGAAACCTTTCCTTAATAGCTAAAAATTTATACATTACAAACATACAAAATGATTCTCCAAAATAAGCTGTAATAAACACAAATTGTTATACAATCACTTAAATAATCATCTCTTCCCAAGTGTTTTCATAACAATGGTGATATACCTTTGGCCTAGTTTTACATATTGTCCTTAGTGTAGGACATGATCTCAGATTGTGGAAATATTAATAGTCCACACTCTTGCCATATCGTTCAATCTAATTAGGCAATTCTTGTGTCCCTGTCTATAGATGTAGGGCCCGGACACCTTGCGCGGTTCGACACCTTGGGAACCGCGTACAATACGATGCCCTTTCACTAAATGGTAAGCCTCTTCTTCAGTTTCGCCTTCCTTTCCTCTTCCGATTTCACCAGTGCTTGTAATTTGTTCCTGGTCCTTCAGTGGGTTCTTTCTTGAGATATTTCCGGTCTCTCCAATGCGTACAGAAGATATGATAGGCGGTTTTGTTGAAAATGTGCTCCTGGTGTAGATACCAGTGCTGCTCAATGAGGGTTTTCAAGATTGATGTCGGGGAGTCAACGTTGTTCCAGGTTTTAATAGGTCATCACTTAACAGTACGTTCTACAACAATCTAGAAATTCTTTTCATTATTCGCTCCGGTGATTGAGGGTGTCCT